GCCATCAAGTACTTGATGTAATGTATGCTAAGCATATAATGGTAGCAATAGGCAAGTTGTGTCAAGATCATTTGACAAATTCTCTCAATCGCACTCATCAGATTTCTTCAACATATGTCGATATTTGTTGACATGTGTGCAACATGGTTCGATTGACGACAACAAGCCCATCAAGTATTCCACCAGTGAATAAGCTAAATTTTTTTAGCGTGCTTAATGTCCCATTCTTATCTAAAAACTTAAACCTTTGACACTGAAGTCTCTCAATATTCAAATCTTGGATCTACCACTGAATACTGTCAAAGTCTTGATGATGATTTAGCTACTGTTGCAACATGTAGTTTTCTGCCAGAACACTTTGATAAGATAAGACGAAATTGTTTAACCATAATTTTGTTCTTTGATGATGATTTAGCTACTGTTGCAACATGTAGTTTTCTGCCAGAACACTTTGATAAGATAAGACGAAATTGATTAACCTTAATTTTGTTTTTTGATAAGATAAGACGAAATTGATGGGTTTATAACGTTTGCTAATTCCTGTGTCATGGGTTTCGCAAGTGTTCGCTAAAAGCAATTCATGAATCGATATTATATTCCTAACTTAATAATTTGTTTCCAATACAATGGAAAATGATATTTTTTTTGGGAACCGGGAAATAATGTGATCGTGTTCGTTTATCGTAAATTATGAGATCAGTTTTCGTTAGTTATTATTTATATTTAAATTTAAAATTTAAAATAATTTTTGACCGCACGATATACTATGAACGAACACAATCACAAGATCTTTTGATCCTCCAAAAAAAGATCCGGCGATGATTCTTTTCCCAATACAATGAGCTGTATTAAGACTATACTAGACATCAGGTTTAAGGCTAAGGGCAAGGACCATCTATATGTTTAAACCTTAGATACACCAAGTGTTATAGTACAAGTGGTTAGAAATTCAAATTTTTAAGTATCAACTACTTGTATTATATAACACTTGGTGTGCTAGACCGTGTTTCTGGCACACTGACAAATTTATCCTCAACGAAGCCAAGGGCAAAGAAATGACTCGTCAATTTCTTGAAAACAAAATTTTGGCTAATGGGGTGAATTCCATTCAAGGGGTCATAGTTTCTTCTTTTTCTTTTCTAGATGATCTACAACACTCTCAATATATATGATACGTGCTTGACTGACCAAATTATATTAAAATATATTTATCCAGCACTTACAAACAGTTAAAGTCTTATCCACGGTTGCTTATTGTAACAATGCCATTTCCTATGTGGTTCCTTTTCCTTCAACACCCCATTCAAGCTTTGCACAGCAAAAATATGTGCTGAAAAGTCTGCAGAACTTGTTAGTTGCAGCTAATTTTGACTATAGAAAGATACTGTATTTTTTTTTACGACTGTCACACTATCACATAATTTTACAAAACCAGGTGTTAAAGTATGAGTTACCTACACACAACATTGACGCTAGTTTGTATAAGTAAGGACGTTGACTTTGTAACAGTGATCACTCAGTAACCAAATCTTAAAAATCAAGAAACTACTCTCTGGACTGTGATATGATCTAATTAACTAGTGATTTCGATGCTTAACAGTCAGCAGAACTTCAACAATTTGTTTGGCTAGAACCCTAAAATTCTAAACCCGAAATCCGACTTTTCTTTGTAGATTGCCCAGAAACAAGCTAACCCGTCCACCTAGTAGCAAAATAAAAAGCCCAATCTAAGGACATAGATTTAAGCCCAATCCAAAGATTGTCGTACGGATATCTTTGCAAGGCATTCTTCCGTTTTTAGGAAGAGTAATTATAGGGAGACTACATATTTATAGGGTAGTGCTCTCTACACACCTGTTTTTAGTTCTTATTCATCATTTTAATTTTTGATCGTCAGATCAAATAAAATGAAAAAGATTAATGGGCAAAAATTAACAAGGTTGTGTGGGAAGTAAGAAGGGTATTGTGTAAATAGCACTATCCCATTTATATCATATTCAGGGTATTATCTCATGTGGCAAGTGATGATGTATATAACCAACATCCATTGAGATAAATTTATTAATTAACATACCACATTAGATTGTAGAAAATGTGGTCTCCTAATATTTTTCTTTTAAGAAAGAGACCAGCTTTATTTGTTTATGCGTGGTGATAGCCCAGTTATGAGAGCATGAGAAAAGTTTAAACTCATATGGCATTATGCATATGATACTGATAAAGAAAGGGATTAAGGATTGGAAACTCGGGTGAGCTGAATTTTTAAGACAATTTTCTCTCTCGAAATTTCGGCATATATGCATATGAGTGTACATGCTTAAGTCACTTGGTGACTAAATTAGAAAATTAGAAAGTAATTGAATCCTCAAGAACAACAACAATCAAGCCTATCTCACTAAGTACTAAGTGGAGACAATTAAACTTTATCTCACTAAGTGGAGTTAGTTGTATGAATTCTAGAACGTCATTGTACTCGATTTTGCATCAAGTCTTTAGTTAGCTCAAAGTAATTCATATCTTTTTCTATAGTCTCTTTTTAAAGTATTCATAGATCTTTCTCTATCACTTTTACCCTGAGACTATGTATCATAGTCTCATCTTAATCGAAGCATCTTAGGTCTTCAGTTCACGTGTTCAAACCATTTTAACCAATTATCACTCCTACTTTACCTCGGATATCCTTGTTCTTAATCATATCCCTTCTCGTGTGCCTGCACATCCAACGAAGCATTCTCATCTCCACTGTACTCATTTTTTGGCACGTGTTGCTTTTTGACCGCCCAACATTCCGTGTTATAAAGCATTGCTGACCTTATTGCCGTTCATTCATCTAGCTTGTATTCTATGGTTGAGATCTTCATCTAATTCTTAGTTATTTTGCAAGATAGATACAAGATAACGAAACGTTCATTCTTTAGTACTTCCTGATCTCCAATCCTCATCCTTATCTCATTTGGACCTTCATTCCTCCTGAACTTGACTCCACATACTTTGTCTTTGATCTACTTAGATAAAGACCTTTAACTTCCAACATTTCCTGCCCAAGGTTAGGTTTCACATTTACTCCCTCTTGCATTTCATTTATCAACATTATATCATCTGCAAAAAGTATATACCGAGGGATATCGTCTTGAACATGTTTAGTTAACTCATCTATTACTAATGCAAAAAAATAAGAATTTAACGTTGAGCCTTGGTATAACCCTATAGTTATGGGAAAAGTTTTCAATATGTCCTTCATAAATTCTTACTGCAATAATTGCTCCAACATACATATCTCTTATTGCTTGGATTCTCAAATCCCAAAAATTCCTAAATCTCCTAATTAAATAGCAAAAAGATCAAGAATTGAATAACTAACTAATTCATGCTTTCTTGGGTTTTTATCATAAATGGTCCCTGAAATTGATCAAACTCATCATTTTGGTTTCTCACTTTCAAAATCAATCAATGTCGTCCTTGACATTCACTACCCAATGTCAGTTTGGTCCTTTTGTTAAGATTCCGTCAACTATTATGTTAGTTTGTATGTGGGACCCCCAAATCCAATGAAATGGTGACACATGGATTACATAAAATAAGGATTTTTATTGCAAACGGTCATTGATATTGATCCAACTCCTCATTTTGATCCCTGAGTTTCAAAAATCGATAAATTTGGCCCCTGACTTTTAACACCGCACATTAATTTAATCATTCCGTTAAAGTTTCGTCAATATCTGTTGTCCCACTAATTCAATCATATGGCGCCACGTAAATTAACTATAAGAAACTGTTTTTTATTTTTTTAAGATTTAAAACTAAAAGTAAAATAAGAAACTAAAAACCAAAACTAAAAGAAAAAAAAAATATCGTAATCTTCATTAGGGTATGCTAAAAAAGAAAAAGAAGGTACCATGACACCACTAAAGTACTTAACCTCCTGAACTCACGCCTCATTCTCTCTAGTTGGTTATAATCCTATTAAATTTGAATTGAATTTGGATTTGATTTTATCGAATTTATTCATTCCATTAAAATTTCATCAATATTTTTCGTTTATGTGCTGATATGATCCCACTAATCCAATCATATGGCTCCAGTTTATTAACTATAAGAAACTATATTTTTTAAAAGTGAACCAACAGATGAATATTCCCTGCTGACATTTTTCTCACATCCCACAACCCCAATTGGAAAAAAAAAAATCAATCTAAATTCGATAAAATCGAATTCAAATTCAATTCAAATTTGATAGGATTATAGCCAACTAGAGAAAATGAGGAGTGAGTTCAGGAGGCCAAGTACTTTAGTAGTGTCATGGTGCCTTAATTTTCCTTTTGAGCATATCCTAATGAAGATGACGATAACTTTTTTTCTCTTTTAGTTTTGGCTTTTATTTTATTATTTTACCTTTAGGTTTAAATTAAAAAAAAAAACAGTTTCTTATAGTTAATCCACGCGGCGCCATATGATTGAATTAGTGAGACAAAAGATATTGATGAAACTTTAACGGAAGAATTAAATTAACGTGCAGTATTGAAAGTTCGGGACCAAATTTATTGATTTTTGAAACTCAGTGACCAAAATGAGGAGTTTGATCAATGTTAGGGACCATTTGCGATAAAACCTCTTATTTTGTGTAATTCACGTGTCATCATTTCATTATATTTATGGGTCCCACATGTAAACTAACAGAATAGTTTGACGGAATCTTAACGAAATGACCAAATTGATGTGCAGTAGTGAATGTCATAAATAACATTAATTGATTTTGAAAGTAAATGATCTAAATGATGAGTTTGATCAATGTAGGGACCATAACCCTACTTTCTTTAAAGTTCAACCACTTCATGTATTAAATTATTAACAAACATGATCATACACTTCAAGTTAAACATGATTACATTATATCCGCTGAAATAGGGCCCACAGGGGACACACAGCTCTGCCACTTGGCCACTTCCTCATTCATCCATGTTAAATAATAGTTCCTCACCCACATTATCCAAAAACTCAATCGAAACTTTCGAGCAGGGGACTCTGCAAATCCAAAACAAACAAAAAAACCCAATGTCTGAATACACAGAAGATTTGCTAAGCAATAAACCTTCACTTCCATTTTTAGATATTGACCAAAACACGGAACCAACAAACCAGTATGCAGACCAGTTCAATATTCCAAGTGTCGTGGAATATACAAGCTTGAATTTCCACACCTACATGCCCTTCTCAAATGACACTTACTTGTTCAGCAATCAAGAACCCGAGTTCCCCGCCGGAAACATGATCGAAAACTTTCCAAAATTACAAGTTCTATTGGAAGTAGGGTTCAATGTTGGAAGAATATTGGAAGAATAATGCAAGAAGGGTCTGTAGGGTTCAAAGGGTCCGTAGGGTTCAATGATAATGCATCCATTTGTTTAAGTTCTTTGATAGATAACAGCTCATCCTAGTGCTATGTTAGCTGGTTGTTATTCCTCCAGCTTTGTAAAGCTAATTAATAGTTTAAGTTAGAGAGAGTGGAAGGCACAATGATGCTTTGTTTAGCTGTCAGGAAGGTCATAATGATGCTGCGATTGCTGCCATTATTCTCTTCCTTTCCGCTCCACCCTCCTGCTTGTTTTTCTTTTCATATATATGCTGTCCTTGTAGCTGGTTCTTCCTTATGAAAATTACATCATAAATTCATCATGGTATCAGAGCGGGCATCATCCTGAGCCAGTTCTGTATATTGAAACTGCTGTGTTTATTTTTTTTCAAAAACAATGGCAGATGGAAGTATCATTGCTTCTCCATCTGTAAGCGCTTCTGAAATGGATATCAATCCAAACCAACGACTCAGTTCAGTATTATTGAATGAGTTTAATTATTTGCCATGGGCAAGGGCTGTTAGTCTTGCTCTCGGGTGGAAGATCCAAACTTGGTTTCATCAATGGCAGCCAACCTGCACCAAATGCTTCTTCTCCAGAATATGGAGGGTGGCTATGTAAAGATCAACTGGTCATGTCATGGTTGTTAAATTCTATGGAAAGGAATATTGCTGAAATCTTCAGCTATTCCGAGTCATCTCTCATCCTTTGGACCACCGTGAAGGAGATGTATGGCAATCAAAAACAATGCAGCTCGCATCTTTCAACTCAAGAAGGATATCTCCAACATACAGCAAGAAGGTAAAAGCTTTGTCCAACATCTTGGTTCTTTGAGAAGCATGTGGAATGAGTTAGATGTGTACAGACCTCACACAACTGATCTCTCTGTGCTCCTTAAAAGAACTGAAGAAGATAAAATTTTTCAATTATTGTCTAGCTTGAGCTCAGAATATGAGGATTTGAGAAGTCACATTCTCATGAACTCGGAGCTACCATCCTTCACTAGTATCTGTGCAACTATCCAACGTGAGGAAGTAAGGAGAAAAGTCATGAACAATGGTATAAAAACCAACGTGACAGAAGCTAGGGCTTACCTGACAAATGAAAAAAGATATAAAGGGAAAAATCCTCATTTAAAGTGCCTACATTGTGACAACATCGGGCATGTGAGAGACAAGTGCTGGATCCTACATCCAGAACTCAAACCTGACTTCATGAAGGATAAATCCGCACCAAAGACAAGTCGAGCACACCCTCGTGCCAACACTGCAACATCTTCATCTATCAACAATGTTGATACCTATCAACAGTTCACTGCAAATCCTGCCACCCTTTTAAATGAGTTCGCAGCGTATCTTCAACAAAAGAAAGGAAAAGAGGATGGATCGGTTGATCATAAAGATGGAAGTACTACTGCATTGATGGGCAAATTTGCAGGTTTTTTAGCTGATGCCGATTATGTACCTCAGACAGACTTGAAAGGTATCGTAACTGCTTTCCAAACTGCTCTTAAAATAAATGAGTTACATGATTTTTGGGTTGTAGATTCTGGTGCCACAGACCATATGACTAATCAATTGTCAAAGTTACATAGATTTGAGAAACTACATAATCATTCACATGTATCTGTTGCTAATGGTGAAGGTGCTAGGATTGTAGGAAAGGGAAAAATCCACCTGATATCTGATCAAATAGAGTCTATGGCCCTATATGTCCCATCATTTCCATTTCAACTTCTCTCAGTGGGAAGAATCACAAATTCCTTAAATTGTTTGGCCATTTTTTCACCAAAAACTGTCATTTTTCAGGATTGTATAACCAAGAGGACGATTGGTGAGGGGTTTTACCTTGATGGTCTCTATTACATATCAAAAAGCTCTTCCTGTGGATTTCATGCCAAGTCAAAGTCCATCCATACCTCCATTCAAGCTTTCTCTTTGTGGCACCAACGTCTAGCTCATCCATCTCAACCTATCTTATCCACCTTATTTCCTGACTTAGGCAAAGAATCAACCCACTGTGAAACTTGCCATTTGTCAAAGGCAACAAGACTACCTCTAGGGTCTTCGATGTCTAGAGTTTCTCACTTTTTTGAGCTTGTACACTCTGATATATGGGGACCAACAAGTGAATCTTTTGATGGTTATAAATATTTCATAACTTTTGTTGATGATTATTCAAGAGCCACCTGGTTATATTTGTTAAAATCAAAAAGTGAGGTGATGGAAGTGTTTAAGGACTTTCACAATCTTGTCAAAAATCATTTTTCTTCTCAAATCAAAACCCTAAGGTCTGATAATGGCACAGAATACATGTCCCAAGTCATGACTCAATATTTGAGCAACAATGGCATCATACATCAAACTAGCTGTGTTGGCACACCCCAACAAAATGGTGTTGCCGAGAGAAAAAACCGAGATCTCCTTGAAAAAACTAGGGCATTGATGTTACAAATGAATGTACCAAAACGTTTTTGGTCTCAAAGCGTCATGACAGCAGCTTACCTGATCAACAGGTTACCTAGTAGGGTTTTGGGGTTCAAATCCCCAATGGAGATAATCAAGAACAGAAAGGTGGACTTATCTCACCTTAAAGTCTTTGGATGCATCTGTTTTGTTCATGTTCAGTCATTACATCGAGACAAACTTGATCCTAGGGCAACTAAATGCATTTTCCTTGGCTACTCGTCCACACAAAAAGGGTATAAGTGTTATAATCCACAACTTAAGAGATTAATTGTTTCAAGGGATGTTCAATTTCATGAAACTAACTCTTATTACAGTAAGTCTCTGGATAGTACAAGTCAGGGGGAGATTATCTTGGACAGTTTTCCACTGCCAAGGACTGAGATATTCAACAATGCGGGTGATCAACCTCACACAATGGATCTTGTGGCTCCAAATCAACCGAATTCATATGACGACAGCAACATGCCTGTAGAAGATGAAACTCTACGTGGTATTGATCCTGAAGAACCTTCAGAAGAGTCTCCTCCTACCATACCTCGACGAAATCCAACTCGTGAGAGACACCCACCAGCAAGACTGCAAGACTTTGTTACGTACAAGCTCAAGCACCCCTTATCCAACTACTGTTCTTACCAAAGGTTGTCTCCTAATTACACTGCCTATTTGAGTAATATATCTGCGCATGAAGAGCCTCAATCATTTCAAGAAGCCAACCAATCCCAAGTGTGGCAGCAAGCAATGCAGGATGAACTGCATGCACTCGATCAACATAAAACCTGGAGCATTGTGCCACTGCCCAAAGGAAAGAAGATAGTAGGCTGCAGATGGATATACAAGATTAAATTCAACTCGGATGGGTCTATTGAAAGACACAAGGCACGATTAGTGGCCCGTGGCTTCACTCAAACATTTGATGTGGATTACAAGGAAACCTTTGCTCCCGTTGCTAAGATGAACACAGTGCGTGTACTCTTGTCTGTGGCTGTCAACAAAGGATGGCCTATGTATCAAATGGATGTAAAAAACGCCTTCTTACATGGTGAGCTTGAAGAAGACGTCTACATGAGATTACCACCGGGTCACTCTCAAAGTCATAAACAGGATGTTGTGTGTAAACTACACAAATCAATTTATGGTCTTAAACAATCACCGAGAGCCTGGTATGCTAAGCTCAGTTCTGTTCTTATCAGTGTTGGTTTTGGAAGAAGCAATGCGGACTCCTCTTTATTTGTACGTTCAGGCACCGCTGGTACATTAGTTGTTCTTGTGTATGTTGATGACTTGATCATCACCGGAGATAACCCTGAAGAAATCAAAGAACTCAAGCACTTCCTTCAGCAGCGCTTTGCAATAAAAGATCTTGGTGTTCTGAGATACTTCCTTGGCATCGAAATGGCTACCTCTCACAAGGGCTTCTTCCTTAACCAGCGCAAATATGTTCTGGATCTCCTTAAGGAATCAAATATGAGTGATGCTAAACCGGTTCCTACACCTCTCGACATTAAACTTAAGGTCAGCTTAGAGGGTCAATCTCTTCCAAACATAAGTTATTATCAGCGGTTGGTTGGTAAGTTGATATACCTAACCATCACAAGGCCCGACATTACCTATGCTGTCAGTATTGTTAGCCAATTTATGCACTCTCCCACGATGGAGCACTTTAACCTAGTCAAAAGGATACTTCGGTATCTAAAAGGTTCTGTGGGACGTGGTATAATCATGAAGAAAAATGCAAACACTCAGATTACAGGTTATTGTGATGCAGATTGGGCTGGCAATTCCATTGATCGTAAGTCTACAACGGGATTTTGCACGTTTGTGGGAGGCAACCTTGTCTCATGGAAAAGCAAAAAACAAAACTGTTGTTGCAAGATCCAGTGCTGAGGCAGAATATCGGGCAATGGCATCTACCGCGTGTGAACTAATCTGGCTCAAAGGTTTACTGTGTGACTTAGGTGTTTTCAATCATCAATCCATGTCCCTTTTCTGTGACAATCAGGCTGCAATGCACATTGCTTCCAACCCAGTTTTTCACGAGAGAACCAAGCACATTGAAGTCGATTGTCACTATGTTCGTACACAAGTTCAATCTCAGGTTATCCAAACGCATTTTGTAAGGAGCTCGGATCAACTTGCGGACCTATTCACAAAATCATTGGCCTCTCATCAGTTTCAACTTCTTCTTGGCAAGCTTGGATCCATCAATCTTCTGGATCCAGCTTGAGGGGGAGTATTGGAAGTAGGGTTCAATGTTGGAAGAATATTGGAAGAATAATGCAAGAAGGGTCTGTAGGGTTCAAAGGGTCCGTAGGGTTCAATGATAATGCATCCATTTGTTTAAGTTCTTTGATAGATAACAGCTCATCCTAGTGCTATGTTAGCTGGTTGTTATTCCTCCAGCTTTGTAAAGCTAATTAATAGTTTAAGTTAGAGAGAGTGGAAGGCACAATGATGCTTTGTTTAGCTGTCAGGAAGGTCATAATGATGCTGCGATTGCTGCCATTATTCTCTTCCTTTCCGCTCCACCCTCCTGCTTGTTTTTCTTTTCATATATATGCTGTCCTTGTAGCTGGTTCTTCCTTATGAAAATTACATCATAAATTCATCAAGTTCATTCCATTGTTACAGATGGAAATGAAAGCAAGAAGAGAATAGCAGTGGATGATGCAACAGAGAGCAGCTCCGGAATCTCTACTCCCCCAGTTTCTGAAACCGGGGTCAAGCGAAAAAATGTAACTATTTAAATAATTTTTTCTCAGTTTTTTTTTAAATTTGTTTTGCCTCGTATAGTTCTCAGTTTGATTTTGTTCCTGTGTTCGCAGAGCGCAGAAAGAGGAAAGAGGGTCAAGAGCAATGAGAAGGAAGATGAGAAACCAAAGGAAGTTGTTCACGTTAGAGCCAGGAGAGGCCAAGCAACTAACAGTCACAGTCTAGCAGAAAGGGTACTTAAATTTGCATGTGTTTCTTCGTTTTTTTTCTTCGAGCGATATTCTAATTCAGTGACCAATAAATTTGCTAAAAACATTATTTCTTGGTTTTAATATATGTTTATTGAATGTTGTCAATCAGGTTAGAAGAGGAAAAATCAATGAAAGGCTGACATGTTTACAAGATATTGTCCCAGGGTGCTCTAAGGTAATTAAGAAATTTGGTAGCGTAATTAAGCGTATGTGTTTAATTTAGTAAATCCAAGAACCATAAGTCTAATTTATGAACTCGTTAATGTAATTACAGACGATGGGAATGGCGGTAATGTTGGACGAGATAATTAACTATGTTCAGTCCTTGCAAAACCAGATTGAGGTAATTAGTTTAACAATAATCAAATTTTCCTTGTTAATAATTTGTTCTTAATTATTCTTCTCTGGAAAATTAATGTTTGTTCTTTGTCGAATATTTCAGTTCCTATCTATGAAGCTAGCCACAGCGAGCTCTTTCTATGACTTCAACTCAGAGACTGATGTTACGGAAACAATGAAGGTACAAAATATGAAAAATTTCAGTAAAAAAGTTTTGGTGGCGAGGGATGGAATTCTAATTTTGCGCGATCGAAAAGTAGTAACGTTTTTATTTTTTATGTTGCAGATAGCAGGAGAGTTGGAGAGATTGAAGAGAGAAGCTGCAGGATATGGAGGATTTGGTGCTAGCTTCCACTCAACATCTTCAACTTGGTCCCCCTGAGACATGAAAATGCTCTATCTCCCATGTCCTACTCCTCCTACAGTTCTAATGTTATGATTTTTGTCCCCGCTTCATGCTATATATGTCTGCCACAAGTGGAAAACCAAAACTTGTAAAACCCTAATTTATACGTTGGGGGAAATTTATTGAGATTAATACAATGCATACAGTTAAAAAAGTTTCTCCCTAATTGTGATTCTCTAACTATAATCAGTAATTATTTGCATGATGCATAAATTGGCTGTGCACTAAATCCTAATTACGTACTTTAATTTATTAAAAGAGAGATTCAAACTCGGCTACAAGAAGTCGGACATACTACGATAATCAAATGACTTATTTCATGTTTACAAAACTAACTTTATGTTACATAGTAAAGTCATGACTCATAAACATAAGGGGTGGATAAACACTAAGCTGTAAGTTAAAAGGACTGCTAAGACAACAGTTGGATGATACATGTTGTCTTGTCTCATGTGTTAAAACAACATTTAATTGCCATCAACTTGTACATATAAGATCATGGGAAATTTGGAAAATTTAGACATATTTCTTCTAATGTCAAGATCAACGTAGATGCAACATGGACGTTAAGGTTATCGTGTGCCGTCTAGTGTTTTAACTATTCACATAACATTGCATGATTGGTTTGTGATACTTTCATCTTATTTTTTTAGTCTTCTCTTTCTATATCGGCCTTAAAATGTCAAAACTTGGAAGTAACTACGTGACATTAATGTATTGATTATGACTCATGAACCGAACCGAAGTGTCACAAGCTTGAAATGACAACTGAAAGTAACCCATGGAGTCCATGAAATCTCATGGAGGTTGCCAATTCATGAGGTGAATGATTGGGGGAGAGAGAGAGAAATGTGAAGTTTTTGTCTTCAAGTTTTGTTTTGAAAAGAGGGAAAGATAGGTGCAATGCATCCATGAAACTTGGAGGGACATAGGACAGCAAGAATGGGCCAAAGCATGCCCTAAAGAGTATGGGGCAGTGTGGGATCTCCCAATTTCTCTAAAAGGATAAGTGCGTATGAACCTCTCTCTCTCTCTCTCTCTCTCTCTCTCTCTCTCCCTCTATCAAAAGCAATTTTTTTTTTTCCAATTTGTTTTCTCCTCATATCCCAGTCAATCTTTCTTCTTTTCCTTGACCCCTCTTTGACCAAGTCTATTGAAGCTGTATGCATGAACAAAGAGGAGGAAGAGGACTCAAGGGTCCCCCCTCAAATCGTAATGGAAAATGAACGGTGCCATATATTCCCAAATGGGATTGAGGAGATCACATATTAGGTGGAGTTGGGAAGGTAACTTAATATGGGCAAGTTCAAGGACCCTAGATTAGAAGCTTTTGGAGTGGAAGATGTTAGCTTGTCACCCACTAAATTATGGCAAAACTAAAAATAGCACAAAAAGGAAACCTAAGTGTGTGCATGCATCTCATAATATTAATATGCATAGACCCTAGATTAGAAGCTTTTGGAGTGGAAGATGTTAGCTTGTCAAAATACCCACTAAATTAAGGCAAAACTAAAAATGGCACAAAAAAGAAACCTAAGTGTGTGCATGCATGCATCTCATAATATTAATATGCATAAACCTCAATGTAATATGATTCACCAAGCATCATCTCATTGTAGAGTGTCTCAAGATGGTTTATGGTGATGTGGTAAATGTCACATCTCGAGCTCAACTCCGTCGTAGCACGATATTGTCTGTTTTAAGTCCCGACCACGCCCTCACGGTTTTGTTTTTGGGAATTCACGCAAGCAGAACTTCCCAGTGGATCACCCATCCTAGGAATGCTCTGGCTCATTCTTGCTTAACTTCGGAGTTCCTACGGAACCCAAAGCTTGTGAGCTCCTAAAAAACCTCATGATATATGAAGGCCCATGTACATTTAAGGCATAGAGGATCAACTCTCCTGAACGATGTGGGAGTAAAGAAGCATCATCATACTCAAATGGTAAAGCTTGTATCAATCTTAATCAAAATCGAGATCTATGTTTAAATTATGCTTGAAGGTTGTAGATGATTCTCACATGCATGGTCAAGACTCAAAATGTCATTTCATGGTCAACAAAAGTAATTTTTATGATGTTTTTGTCCCGATTTGTGAGCCTCACGTGCAACTTATGAACATAGACAAAACTAGACCATGTAGATGATATGTATAGTTTGATCAAATGAGAGTTTCTATTATGCACATGGTCTACATGTGCATCAACATAATTGATCAAATCTCGGCCTCTCGTTTTCATTTAAAAAATTGGAAGGTCGAGATTTAATCAAATATGCTGATGATCAACCCATGCGCTTGAGAGAAACTATGTTGACCTATATGGATTAAGGACTCATGAAGAATTAGGGGTGTGTTCGAAAAAAACGAAAACCGAAAACTTTATTTTAAAAAAATATCGTACAAAATATCGAATCAAAATAACCAAATTGAATTTCTCTAACTGAATTGAATCGAATTCAATTGGTTCAGTTTCGGTTTTAAATGTTAGGATACGCACTAAGCCGAACAAAACCGAACATCTAAACCCAGAATACTACGTTGTTTTATGTTTTACACTAACCCTAACTAATACACCCCTCGTCCCCTCCTTTCTTCAGATTCCAAACTTGATACCTTGCCTCCAGTCTCCAGACTCCAAAGTTGAAACTCGACACCCCGACCTTGCCGAACCCTTCAAACTCAGAACATCATCCTTCAGACGTCGCACACCCTACACCTCGTCCACTTCGCTCTCTGTCACGCTCGCCCACCTTGCTCGCTGCCGCGCTCACCCACCTCGCCCAATTTACTGAGATATCGGCCTGCATTTTATTTCTCAAGAACAAAAAATTCAACATTATTAAGAAATGAAAGCAAAGCTTTTTTATTCACGTGAAAGAAAAAAAAAACAGGAATGAACTAAAAATAGAATTAATTAAAATATTTGTCCTTAAACTTATATTTGTATTTCACTTTATCTCCAATTTAGTTTATCTATTTAATAGTTTTTCACTTGTGTTATGTGACTCGCTTTAACCATTCTGTCATACTTTTGTTTATTTGATTGTCGACTAAAATGTCCAGCTTTACTACAATGAAACAGTTTAACAAATTGACATAATGACTAAAGTGGGGATGTGATACGGTTAGAAGGTCATAAAATTTAGAACTAAAGTTAAGACTAAAGTGAAACACGAGTATAAATAAGAAGATTACTATCATGATTAACCCTAGAACAATATCAATAAAAGTAAGAGAGGTTGAATGCTGTGAATATCAATAATAAATTATAGAACTCTCCTCAACCCACCGTGTTTGAAGTTCAAATCTCTTCCTCTCCTTAGAGTAGTTTAGAGTACAAGTATCGAATGCATTAAAAAAATGTTCCTGAAATTTGCATAACTCATCATTTTGGTCCATGAGATTTAAAATCAATAGAAGTATCATTTTAGTTGGATACTGACCAGATGCTTACGTAGTTTCTGAGTTCGTCAACTGTATATGGTTTGGAATCTGGATTAATATCTTGTTTCCTTTAATGATCGATCAGGGGTAGGCATGTAAGCTTTTCTTTTACAACAGATTGCAGGTGGGAGATAACTGCGTAATTTCGATCCCTCCCTGAGGCAAGTACAAGCAAGGATTTCAGAGTCATGGATTCCTGTTGAATTATAAGTCTCTAGCTGATTGAGTATTAGAAATAAGATGAGTTTAATGTGTGTACTCACTTGAGCATATCTGCCAAGTGTAAAGTTAAATGATGTAAGGCCATGAGTGCCATGTGGTGTTTGATCCATGTAATTAGGTAGATGAGTGACTAAGATTAAAAATAGTGTTTTGTGTGGTCCTAAAGCTAAGGCCATCAGAAAAATGTAAAGCAGTGTTAGTGCGCATTTTTCAGTGTAGTACAAAATATTCCTCTGCAATACTTTTGCAAGAGTGAACAAGAAAGAAAACTTTTCGGTTCAACTTCTTCCATCTTTGCTTTGCTTCTGTTCAGCATTCTGAAAATAAAACCCAGCTAAATCAAGTTACACTAACATGGCCTCAGGGCCTAGTTTCGATTAAGATCTGGGCGTGTTTCTGTGAGCTTAAACATCACCGTTTCTGGTTTCGGTGAAGTTTGCCGGAGTTTGTCTGTGACCTAAAGAACTACGTGTTTCTGGATTCACACAAGCTCACGATGGCTAGATCTGGGAGTGCTGAAGTGAGGACCCCGATCTTCTCCGGTGAGAACTACGAGTTCTGGAGAATCAAAATGGTTACCATTTTCAAGTCATATGGACTGTGGAATCTGGTGGAAAAAGGGATTTCGGTTTCTGATTCGAAGAAGAAGAAAGCTAAGACTGATGAAGATACAGATGTTGATGCTGACGATGATGAGAAAATGACTGCAATCTTCATGAAAGATGCAAAAGCTCTCGGAATCATTCAAAACGCAGTCTCCGATCAGATTTTCCCTCGAATCGCAAACGCAGACTCGGCAAAAATGGCATGGGATCTGTTATATGGCGAATATCACGGTGGGGATCAGGTAAGATCTGTGAAACTCCAGAATCTTAGAAGAGAATTTGAATATACTAGAATGCGTGATGATGAATCCTTGACTGGGTATCTTACTCGTTTAAATGATCTGATTAATCAAATGAAAACGTTTGGTGAAATTCTGTCAAATGAGAGATTAGTACAGAAGGTATTAATCAGTCTCACTAAGATATATGATCCTATATGCTTAGTGATAGAAAATACCAAATGTTTAGAATCTGTTGAACTGCAAGAGGTACTAGCTATATTGAAGAGTCAAGAGCAGAGGTTTGATGATTTGCATTCCTCAGATGCAACTGAGAGAGCATTTTCTTCTCTTACTGTTAGTTCAAAAGGGCAGAATCGAAGTTATGCTCAGTCTAGTACTTTTAAACCACAAAGAAATTGGAATCAAAAGGGTAAGAAATGGGATTCAAAACCAAAGTTTCAGCAAAAATCATACACAAATATTGCACAGAATAGTACTTCCTCACAGGTTATGGGTCAAGAGAGTGTAAAACCTCAATGTAAAGTGTGTTCAAAGTTTCATTATGGTGAATGTAGATATAAGGGGAAATCCAAGTGCCATAACTGTGATAGATTTGGTCATTGGGCCAGAGAGTGTACTGTTGGAAAGTCTGTTCAAAAGG